AAATGCAAATCAAAACTTCTCTAACCTATCATCTCACTCCAGTCAGAATGGCAGCTATTATGAAGACAAACAACAATAAGTGTTAGCAAGGATGTGGAGAAAAAGATAACACTCATACATTGCTGGTGGGACTGCAAATTGGTGCAGCCAATTTGGAAAGCAGTGTGGAGGTTCCTTGGAAATCTGGGAATGGAACAACCATTTGACCCAGCTATCCCTCTCCTTGGTCTATACCCAAAGGACTTAAAAACACCATACTACAGCCACATCAATGTTTATAGCAGGACAATTCACAATAGCTAAACTGTGGAGCCAACCTAGATGCCCTTCAATGGATTAATGGATTAAAAAAAGTGGCATATATACAAAATGAAATTTTAATCAGCAATAAAAAAAAATTAAATCATGGCATCTGCAGGAAAATAGATGGCATTGGAGAAGATAATGCTAAGTCAAGTTAGCCAATCCCCAAAAAACAAATGCTGAATGTTTTCTCTGATGTAAGGAGGCTGACTCATAATGGGGAGCCTGGAATGATTAGATGAATTCTAGATAAGGCAGGGGGGATGGAAGGGAAAAGGAGAGGACATAGCAAGGATGGTGGAATATGATGGACATCATTTTACAAATTACATGTATAAGGACATGAATTGGGTGTCAAAATTATTGATATACACAGATATGAGTAATTGTGGTATATATGTGTAATAAGAATTATAATGCATTCTGCTATTTCTTTATCCAAAATAAACACACAAATAAATAAATAGAACGGTTTTTCCAGATATAAATCCTTTTATGTCTTTAAACAAAACTGTAAAAATTGACTACTGCCCAAGATTGCTTATCTATAGGACTTTCTACAGTATGAGTTTTTTTTTTTAAATTTATTCTTAAATACACCTGAAAAAAGTAAAACATCTGAATTCTTTGTATTTCTTACTTGCATAGGATTTATTCATTTTGGCATGAAATTTTCCAAAAGAATCTTCTAGTACTCAAAATAAACTGCAAAAACTAAAAGATTTTCCACATTTATCATATTCACAGGGCATCTCTCCATGAGTATTTTCATAAAAGGGAAGGAAACTAGGTTTGGAACATTAAGCTGATAGAGTGTAGCAAATCGTCCCCATTCAGAGTGTTTGTTTTCCAGTGAGAAAAATGGCTTTGAAGACAACAGGGAAAATAGAATGATTTGCCATATTTTTTCACATTTAAACAGTTATTCAGCCAGATGTGGTGATGTATGCCTTTAATCCCAGAGAGTTGGGAGGCTTAGGCTGAAGGATCACAAGTTTGAGGCTAACTTCAGCATTTTAGAACAACCCTAAGGAACTCAGCAAGTCTCTATCTCAAAATT